ACTATCAGCACTTCACAGAGAAAGGAGCAGGATGTTTTTTCATCTCTTTGGGGATGGAACTGTTCTCCCATCACCATCATGTTTGGGCAACACCAAAAGTGGTGCAACACAGAATAATTCTGATCATAGTCTCTTTACTGACACAAACGACGTGACAAAACTCAGCTGCTGATTTGCCCAGACTTGAGATAATTTAGGACTGGAATGAAAATACCTGTGCTGGTGATGACCTCACCACTTCCCCATCACGTCATGCACATGACGCAAATTATTATGACTCGTAATACCTATGGCAGCTACATAACAAACAACAAATGTCATGCTAAGGGGAGATTTTGCCACTAAAGAGGCCAAAGGTTGTGCCTTGCTCTGTAGTTGTTACCCAGAAGAAAAATTTGGGTCTGTTTAACATAACGCTGTTCTTCCTGCAGAAGAACATGACAGCAAGGTTTCTTCCATGGCTTCAAGGTCCCATCTGCCCTGCCTTTCTTCACTTCATCCATGCCCTCCCACATCCCACCCATAGAAACCTTCCTTTTCCTTCCTTCCTTGTTACCCCCAGAACACCACTCACTGCTCTCAGCTCTATTCTCCTTGTCACACCTCACCATCTCCAAGGACCAGGCCTTGCTGCTGGCCCAGCTTCTCACCTCCAAAAAAAATGCCAGTGGCTCCTCTACACCACCACTCCCTCTACTGCTCCCTGGGGGGAAGTGGGGATCGTGGAGCAGGTGGTGGGACCAGACTCATCGGTCTGTGCTTGTTGTCAGTGGGTGCATCTCCGGTGCATGTGGTATGTACCAAGTTCCACCTTGTGGTGACACTGAGAATGGGCTTCTCCATCCCCAAACCTCCTCTCCCTTTCACTGGCTTTTCTTGCCCACTCCCCTCCCAGGGTGCTTGAGAGGTCCTGCTGAGCTGGGGCAGAAACCGTGTATATGAAACCTTAACATTTCACACAGGAGGAGTTCTCCCGAGTCTCATGTGGTTGTCCCCCAAGTCACAGCCTGAAGACTCCCTCCACTGGCACACTGGAGCTGTGTGATGGGCAGGTTTCTGGTGCACTGAGATCAGTGCTTTCACCCTACCCAATATTTCTCAGCCCCACTCTCTCTCTGTATCCTTTGTCTCACCTTGTCTGCATGGTCTCTGGGAGGAGAATGGCCCCTTCTCCAGCCCTGATGAGTCCGTGCAGCCCATCTTCCCCCAGAACAGGCTGGCTATATCCAGACTGCCCTCTGGGAAGGACTGCAGGCCCATCACCCAGATCATGCCATGTTGGATCAAAACCATGCTGGGGAATGTGCTGGAAGTTACACAGTGCAGAGCCTTGGCCCTGGTTTGTATAAGCAAAGCCAGGCTGCCTGCCCAGACATTTCACAGAAAGCTCAAATCATGACCTTTATTTGTGAATATCTTCATATATCTTCCTGCCGGTCAGGTCACTCACAGGGAGCTTGGATCAGTGCATGGAACAGGCTGTGACCCATCAAAAGCTACTGCCCTGCACTCTTGATGAAATCCAGGTAAAACACCCAATTAAAGTTCATCGTGCTCAGGAACCCAAAACCTGACCAAAGGTTTAGTTTGGTTCTTCCACTGGTCCCTCCCTCCATCAGGGTACACACAGAGATTTTGGCTGCAGAGTGAGAGACACTAAAACAAACACTGGCTTGCAGTAAATTACAGCTTTTCCAGTAGCTGGTAAAGAAAAGTAATTGAAAAGAAGGACATCAACTTGATGGATAGGACCAGGACCAACAGGGAGGAGCACTTGTGCAGTTTAGTTGCCTGACTCCCAAGTCATGTTTCTGAGCACTTGCTGATGAAGATGTTCTCTTCATAAACCCAAAGTCAGTTGTAGGTGGGTCCCAGCTTCACTTTTTTTTAAGGTCATTTAACAGTTTTTCACAATATTTTCTTCAGGAGATGAAATTTCTTCCATAGGTGAAATGCAAGTCATTCTCAACATTCTGTAGCAGGGCAAAATTCATGCAATAATTAAATTGCACAACTGAATTATGCAAAACTAGGGGGAAAAATATTTTTCCTAAGTGATTTATCTGGAATTTCTCTAACTCTAGCCAAAAACACCCCATGAGATTTGTTGTGTGGTACTTCAATACAGGGCTTTAAAAGGTACCATGTGAGGGGCAGACCGAGATGTGAGAATTTCCCTCCACACAATGTCCAGACCGACCTATTTAAGGTGTGGAGGTATCTCAGGTTAGAAGAAACTGTGGCAAAATCTTCTCTACCTGCATATAGAAAAAGAGAAACTTCTTTGTTTGACCAAGGTCTGCAGCCTTCTGTTCTGGTGGACTTGGCTGATAAGGACTGAGACCCTCCACCCATGGGAAGGACCTCAGAGACAAGACTGGGTGTCAGTCTCACAGTATTCAGACACCTACAGTGCACTGAACAAGGGGCCAGGAGAAGACAGGGCACAATTCACCTGTCTAGATCCCTATAAGCCTAAAATTTCTACCACACCTCTATGTCTAGCCAGCTGAATCCCACGCTGGGTGATCAAATCACCAAATATTCATCTGCAGCTTTCCTTCAAAAATACCTGTTCAAATATTTTGATCTTCCTCTAAAGGAAACTGTACTTTGGTCCCAAATTATCAACAGCTTTGGCTCCCAAAGTTGCTTATCCAGGCAGCTGAGTTTCCAGATCTTGCACGAACCATCTCTTTCCCACACACCTCTCCCTCTTGCTTTTCCCTGTGGTTGGTTCTATCCTTTCATCTCTGCTACCTGCAGCAGTTTTCCAAGTGCCTGCATTTCCTTCTCCCTCCTCTTTCACTTCCTCATTAAAATCCATTTTTCCCCAAGCATCTTCTTTCCCCGACTCAGCTGCTTTTGGGCCTGATGTCAGGGCTTTACACGCTGACAACAACCTCAGGAACTGTGGGTTTTGTTTCACTAAAAGACATTGCTCAGACTGAAAATTTAGCAGGTTTTGTGTCAAAATAAAAAAGACAAAATTAATTTTACTTGTCTTGTCTGAAAAAGAGACAAGTTGCCCGGGTAATGTACTGAGAAGTGTCAGTATCCCAAATCCTCCTGCAGTGCTAGGAACACTATGGCTCATAAAACTCCCACATAGAGCATCAGGCATAACCTGGATCAAAGGGGTGTGCTGGGAGCATTTTGTTGGTAGGAAAGGAGATCAAAGTCACCAGCTGCTCCAGAGCAGATCCCAGCTGATCCCAAGTCACATTATCTCCACCCATGGTGGTTGAAGCCCAGAAGGAGCCTCCTCAGAGCTCCCAGCTCAGAAGGGCAGGTGGAGATGATTCATTTGGAAATTTCAATATAGACATTAATCCTGAGGACTTGCTGACAGAATAACACAAGGAAACAGCCTGTTTTGTAGGATTTTACTAACCCTTCCCTGCTGATTCTCACCCTGGGCTGTGGCTGAGGGCATTCCCATCCTTGGACTGTGGCATTCCCTACACAATATACACAGTGTCTTGTATGAAACAGTCAGTGTATAAGAATAAGGCATAGTACAAATTAGCTATTCTATAATCTGTGCAAGCACAAGGGCTCCCAGTTCAGAAACAGACCAACTTCATGAGGTAAGAGAAAAGTTATTAATAGCCCACATTAATTCTGACATGGTAAATACAGCTGTTGTTATTTCTATGTTGGGGGGGAAAAAAGAGAGAAACTGAAAGAAAGAATCTGAGTTTCAACATGCATCCAGGGACAAAACATGTCTACAACCCACAGCATCAGAAATTTCTTACAAACTACATAGCACAAGCCTGATCCTGCTAACAAATCCACATGTGAGCAACTTCTCTTGTCTAAGTGGTCTGGCATTTGGAGTGACTTTGGCACTTGTGTGTCTGTGTTACGTGTCAAGGAATTTCAGTAAATACTTTTTGAAATTCTTGGCTCTTTCAACATTTGTGTATTTTTCTGCTTGAGACAAGAAAATAGATTAAGAGCCACTGAATTCTCCTCGGTCCCTAACCCCAGAAGACTAAATAATATTCTCTGAAAAATAACCCACAGGCCAGAATGGGAAATGTTTTAATAGTTCCAGATGTGTTTCTTAGCTTTCTTTCCCCAGTGGCTGTATAATGAATGAGATACCTACAAAAAGTATAACATTAACCTCTGGTTCACCTTCCTGTTGGATTTTTAGCATCTGGGAGAATCAGAGGGAAGATTTCTTGAGCCTGCGGGAATCTTTTCACAATTCTCCTGGTAACAGTAAATTGATTATGTTTATGTGCAATCACTTATAGCTCTGTTAGTTTATTTTTGTTTATAGCTCAACTGCAGTAAGAAAGCAACTATCTCATGAAATAAAAATAAGTACTCCAAGCTTTTCCCATTTCTGTGGGATCACAATAGCCCATTTCAATCTGTAGCTATCAGCTATCACAGCCCTGAGTTTTTTCTGCTCATTAGAGTAAGTAAAACACAATGAAGGGGTAACAAAGCAATACATAAAGTCAGATGAGGGAATTAGGGGGGGATACTGCATTACCCTGTGCATCAGACAAGCCTCCCAGACCTGGTATGATTGAATCTTCTTAAATCTCATTTGCTGAAAGGGCAGAGAGGATTTCTTCTTTTTTTAGAAACATTACTTATTTTGTACTTAATATTTACAGAGTCTTGGGGACAGACCCTGAGCCGAGGTGTTTATCCAGGCTCTGTTTTCTTCACCAGAGCCCACAAAGTTTACTGAGCAGAGCACCCATCCCGTTCTGTTTCACCAGAAAGGGGAGGAGATTTGGATCCACTTTTCTGAACTTGCAGACACTTACCCTGCCAAGACACCCTTCCTACCAACAGAGCTCACCCTATTAACAGAGAAAAATCTGTCATCTCTCTCTAACAGCGGGTAAATGCTGCATTACTTCCAAATGAGAGAATGGGGAGGCGAAGGACGGGGGAGAAGAGAGGAGGAAAAATAAAGCTCTTGGACATGATAAGAGAGCTGAAACGCAAGAACGTTTCCCCAGACTTACTGTTGCAAGCGAGGAATGTGCCATTCGATTCCATGGCTGCAGAACAAGCCGACGAGCAGCAGCAGGAAGGGCTCCGGCGAACAGCTGTGCCCAGAAGTCAGCGCTGGTGGAAGCCAGAGCTGCGAGGCTCCAGTGATCCCCACCGTCAGCTCCCTTCGGAGAGGCCTGCTCCTTCCCCTTGGCTGCAATTGCGTCTTCGCTATGACTCCTCATTTATTTCTCTCCCGCATCCGCACGCCGCTGCCTTGCCCGGCGCACCGACTGCGGCCAAGCGCCCGAGCCCCAGCGCTGGCCCTGGCTCCTCCCTGCTCCATCTGGCGTCTTCACCGCTGGCCCAGCCTCCTGCTGCTGCTGCTACTGCTGCTGAACCCTCACAACGATGCTTCTTTGCTTCTTTTCCTGCCGCTGCCACATTTTCCTTCTCCGCTCCTTCCTGGCGCGGCTTCCAGAAGACACCGAGTGCTGCGAGTCCATCCTTGGTGGTCCCCAAGTCAAGGAAAGGGGCTTAAGCAGATGCCACAGACCAGAGTTTAGGGCTAAAGAGCTTTTAGGTGCTGGTGGGGGTATAATTCTTTTCACAAGGGAAAAAAAAAACAGGTCAGAACTTGCCAGTGTGGAAATAGAAGCTGTGACCACAAACGCTCACAGAGGAATGAGCTCAGGGTAGAAGAAAAGTTATGAGCTTTGCATTTGAGACAGTGAGACAGAAAAACTAGAGTTTTACTGGAGTTTTCACTGTCCTGAGGCTTTTACTGAGTGGAACTGATTTCTTCCACTCTGTCCCCTCCTTCTGAGTTAGATATTTCCAAAGGGTAGAAAGATACTGCTTGCAAACAGGGAAAGAAAAGGAATCCAGTGTGGGAAAATAAAGTTTCTCTCTACTTGAATGTTTTTAGTTATTGTTTTGTTGTTGTTTATTTACATTTCTGGCTATTTAGGTCTTCCTGATGCAAACAGTTGATGGAGTTATTGGTAGATTCAGATCCCTCACTCCTCAGCAGCTGTAAAACCGGCAGCTCTGTTGATAGAAGGGAAAAGTCCCTCTCTGATGGTGACAGGTCTGGGAAGCATGTGATGAAAAATACTTTGGGACTAGGACAGTTTGTCCCTCCCTGCCAGGAATTGGACTGCTCCTCTGAGAGCCCAGACCTCGCTCTCGGAGAGTTTTACAGTCCACAAATATAAGGCTGCTGCCACCACCCAAGGAAAACTGCCCTAATATAGCAAAACTCCTTGTGTTAGTACAAAACTAACAAAACCAAGCAAGTGAAGGAAAAAAGGAACAGAGATTTCGCCCCATGACTCTTCTGAAGTCCACTCTTTTATCCCATGGCCACTAGCACGGGGCAGGGGTTCATCTCCCACTAGACACTTCCCAAAGGACCCAGAAAGGAGCATTCCTTTTTCAACCCCACAGACATTGACTGGAATGGGGCAAACTGTTTGGCAGCAAGGTCGGCTGCTGGCAGGCAGGACAGCAGCTGGAAGCACCCAAGAGATTCCTGGTACAGCCTTAAAAGCCTCGAGGCAGGGGGATTTTGGGAGGACACCTCCACAGCTTGTCACCCTTTCAGCTAATGGGGAAGAGTACTGGAGGGAGTGTACAGGAAGGCTGGTGGATGAGCCAGCCAGACTGGAAACTCCAGTAAAGCTGAGGTGATGAGGACATGATGGCTTTCACAAAGGAGAAAAAGTAGGGAAGGGCAGTTTGAAAGTGGTGATGGAAAACAGCATTATAGTAACTCCTTCAGTCTTCCCCTGTATCACACCAGACCTATGAGGAGAGGCTGAGGGAGCTGGGGTTGTTCAGCCTGGAGAAGAGGAGGCTCAGGGGAGACCTCATCACTCTACAACTCCCTGACAGGAGGGTGTAGCCAGGTGGGGGTCGGTCTCTTCTCCCAGGCAGCGATCAGTAAGACGAGAGGGCAGAGTATGGAGCTGTGCCAGGGGAGGTTGGATATTAGGCAGACATTTTTTACAGAGAGAGTAATCAGACATTGGAATGGGCTGCCCAGGGAAGTGGTGGATTCACCATCCCTGGAGGTTTTTAAGATGAGACTGGATGTGGCATCAGTGCCATGGTCTGGTAACCACAGTGGGGTTGGATCAAGGGTTGGACCTGATGATCTCAGAGGTCTTTTCCAACCCGGTTGATTCTATGATTCTATGATCTCATCCTCAGATTGCCTGACACGAGCTCCTCCATTGGAGATGGACTGACCAGTGTCCCTATGCCCTCTGTGGCAAAGAGGGGAGTCTAAGAGAGAATAATTAGTCCCCAAAATTATTCAGACCATATTGGGGACACAATCCCTTCACAGCAGTGCAGGGCATGACAGCGCCAGGACGTGACCATCACTCTGCTGTGAACACCACTGTGATTGCACCCAATGCCTCAGGCTGGACAGAGCATCCACAAAGTGAGCAGGACTGAGTTTCTCTGCCATCATTCTTTGAGATTTGAAGATGATCCTCTGCATTTCCCCCTTCATGACCACTGTAGCTTCTTGTGTTTCCTTCTTTCCATGCTGCCTTCTCCGTGATCATAGCAGCAGTGGTAGTAGAAATGGTGCCTATCAGGAGGTTTCACAGAACCTTGCTCAACTTTTCACTTTTCCCCATTACATTTATTCTTCCTGTTCCTGTGCACATCCAGAAGCATCATCACCATTTAGGCTGCTTGGAGCACTTGGGGACCTTTCTGCCACCCTAAGCTAAGTCATCACCATTTCTAAACCCTTGAAGGGCTTGAGGTGTGTGTGCTCAGAGGAAGTCTGGCACTCACAGACAGTCCTGCATTTCTTGCATTCATCAGAAAGTGCAGCAGTCACCATTGGAGCACTGATATGCTGCAGCAAACACCCAGAATCTGAGATTTCACAGCATAGGTCTCATCAGAGCCTTGTTTCAGAAGGCAACAGTCCTTTGAGTTGTATTCCTGCATGTGCTTGAATTCCCTTTCCTTTGCATTGCTGAAACCAATATATACACAGAATAACAATGAAACCAAAGTGACGTGAGCAGCTACTGGGCTCCTGTGAGCTGCAGAAACCCTACTAATAAAAAATTCTCTGTGAACAACATAGCAGTGTAAGAGTGTCATATGAATATGCCTTTTTTCTTGTCCACACCATAATTTCTGAGCTCATCAAGAAGCAGAGTCAGGGCATTTCTAGGCCTAGAGACAGGCTGGGGCATTGGTACTGCCTTCCCAAAGCCAAGCTGCACCTGAAGAGTACAAGGTCAGTGCCATGATATTTTACTGAGGGACAAGGCCTAAAGCCAGAACACATCTTGACTAACCCACTTGCTCTCCAGCCATAGAGATGAGGTTGGAAGGAGTTAAATGTCAGGCAGGCTGGGTGAGGAGCCTCTGTAACACACCCTCCAACACAGATGTCCGTATGCAAAGGCGCCAAGATCATCTGGAGCTGTGCAAAGTCAAGGAGATCTCCCATTTCTCGCACCCCTACACGCCTTTGCATTCTCCTCCTTTGTTTTGCACACACAGCCCAGCCCAGGCAGCAAAGGGCATTTGCAGAGCTCAAAGCCAGAAGTGTTTGCAGGGCTCAATTCCACAGTGAACCGTAAATCTCAGCAAACCAAAAGCAAAGCAGTTTACCTGTCTCCACTCCGAGGGCATGACTCAAGTGTTGATTTAATTGCACACAGTGGAAGGAGCAGATTTTCATCTCAGAGGAATGCTACACCACCCCAACACCGAGTCTTTCCAATGGAGAAGATGCCTTCTGGCTCCCTGTGCCCTTCAGACTCTCACACACACCCTCTTCACCCCACCGAAATGTTCCCAGACGCCTCTCCAGAGCGTAACAGCCAAGGGCTTTGTTTGCTTTGCTAAAAGGACTCAGGGTTTCTGCCACAGTGTCACAATGTAAGAATCATTTCGGGGTTACATGGCCAGCAGGGAGCTTTGGCAACCACGTGGGGCTCTTTTGGCAGCAGGAGAATTACGGAAACCAGCACAAAAGAAAATGTCATATTAAATAGAGTTCATGTCAATGCAGAAGCGGGTCTGGAATTCTCAAACACTTTAGTAATGATCTGGCTGTTCACTGAAATGTTTTGGGGTTTTTTTCATGTCTTTTCCCAGTCTGTTTACTGGTTTAGATGGGATGTGTTACAATCCTCAGAACTTCAGGTGTCTCTACATCCAACTCTCATATAAACAGATTCATAGAATCCTGGAATGGTTTGGGTTGGAAGGGACCTTGGAGATCATCTAGTTCCAACCCCCCTGCCATGGGCAGGGACACCTTCCACGGGGCTAAATAAGTCAATAATGGATGGACAGCAAAATGTAAAATTGTCAGCTGCCTTTTACGCTTTGAGAACTGCTCAGGGCTCTCCCAAAGCAGCCCAGATATCCATGTGAGAGGCCAGCTCCAGCTGCCCTGGTGACTCACTTCCTGGAAAGGCATCATTACTCCTTGGTTATCAGGGCCGTCTTTCATTAGGTGGACACAGTTCTTGCTGCTAATACTCCCTGCCCATGCAAGACCTGGGATTCCTAGGGCTGACCCTACCACTGAGGCTGCTCCACCCAATATTTACTTATTGGAAAATTTTCCCAGCACTCACAGGTTTCCAGCAGCTGCTGGTCCTTCACCTGCAAGAAACACACTGCAGTGTGGGGAAGAACAGCCTCGTGGCTCAGCAGGAGCTGGTGGAGCTCAGCACCTTTGGAAATCAGGCTCCCTTAGGAGATACCTTGGAAATAGCTCTGGAATGGGATTTATGACTGCCAAGAACAGTGAGATTATTGGGTTTGTGGGCCACTCACTGGACAGAGTAATTCACCAAAGTTTATAAACTAGGCTGGAATGGAATTAACACCAGTATCACACAGCTCAGGGAACTGGAAGGAACAGCCAGGTGCCTTGTTTATCACCACAGAGAGCTGTGCCAAAATATCTTCAGACTAAATGATATTGATGTCTACATCTACATTTAAACCATTTATTTCAAGAGTTACTCCCACTTAGGAGAGCAGTGCATGGCCACAGGAAAAGGAAGCAACAGATGCTGGGATGTGTAAACCTGCTGCTGGCATAATCCTGTACCAGTCCTATTAAAATTAATGAGGTATTTCTGCTTGAGCAGAAGATAAAATCAACTTGCTAAGCCAGAAATACGCCTACCTGACTCAGTATATCTTAAGTATTTGGAAGGGTTTTCCCTCCACTTAGTAATCAAGAGCAGTTCTAACCACCAAATAAAGCAATAAAGCAGTCAAAGGAGTCATCTATTACTGTCCAGTCACAATAAAGAC